CCCTCAGGCTGCAGTTCTGGCAACTGCCCACCTTCTCTCTCTTATCTGCCTACTTCTTTCCTTTAACATTTATTTCTAATTCAGTAAGCAAAAAGTATTAATAAAAAAAATGCTGGTCATCTTGTTTCTCACCCACCAGGCACTCAATGTTTTTTCTCTTCCCAAGGGTTTCTATCTTGGCAAATTGCTTCAAAAAATCACCAGTTATCCAAGCCAGGAACCTGGATTCATATCTGAATGAAGCTTCTTTTTCTGCTTCCCCCAAATTAAAATGAATTCTCATTCATTCATTCAACAAATAACAGAGAACATTTATGTCTTGGAGACAAAGTAGTCAAAAGAAAACAAATCTCCCATCCCCACAGGGCTAACATTTTACTGAGGAACACAACTATTTACAGAATGGCTATTTCATACTCAACATCTTTCTAGGCATTGGGAATCATATATCAAAGAAGTAAACAAAACAGACAAAAGCCCTGTCTTCCTGAAGGTTGCATCCTAATGGAGGGGGTACAAGTGATCAATTAATCAAACAATCAAAAGAGTATGTTGCATAGTGATAGTGGTTAATTAACTGCCAAGCGGAAAACATAAAGAAACATTGGGAGATACGCAATGACCAGGTGGGAGTATTGAAATTGTAGATAGACTGGTAGGTAAGCACCTTCCTAGATGGTGACTTTTCATGAGCTGTGTAGCTTTCTGGTGGGAGAACATGCCAAACAGATGGAGCCAAAAGCACAGAGCCCCAAAATGGGGGCATATGAGGCTCTTTTGAGGGCCAATTTGTCTGATGTGGAATGAGCTAGGGGGAGAAAGGAGAAGATTGTAGCAGAGATGTAAGATCATTTGATCTGTGTTGAATGGTTATACTCTTAGCAGCAGCTTTTAAAAATAATTCCATGCATACATGGAGGAACCATAGCAATGGTTTTGCATCTACTCCATGGAGTGGTAAGTGGTTGTTCAGGGTAGTATAAGAACATGTCTCTTGGTGCAGCAGCATGGAAGATGGCCCCCAAGCCTGTGCCCCCTCCTGGTGTACATACCCTGCGTCACCCCAGCACTGTGGGTGTGATGGGTTTCATTCCTGTAGGTCAGGCTATTTCAGATGACACAGTTGACTTTATCTGGGTGGGCTTGACATAGTCACGTGAGCCCCACAAAAGTAGAGTCTGCTCAGGCTACGAGTAGACTCAGAGCATGAGGAGGTTTAGACATGGCTGCTTGCTTGAATGTGGAAGGGGCCATGTGGCAAGGAATGTAGGCAGCCTCTAGATGCTCAGAGTAGACCCCAGCTGACACCCAGCATAGGAATGTGAACTCAGTCCTACAAGTGTAAGAACTGGATTCTGTCGACAACCAGCATGAGCTTGGGAGCAGATTCTTGCCCAGAGCCCCCAGGCAAGATCTCAGTCCAGCTGGTGGTCCTGATTTCAGCTTCAAGATACCCTGAGCAGAGCACCCAGTGGTGCCTTCCCAGATTTCCGACCTACAGAAGTGGGAGCTAAGAAATGGGTGCTGCTTCAAGCTGATAAAATTGTGGTGATATGTTAAGCAGCAATAGAAAATTATGGTCTCTTAACCTTTCTATACTAACTGCTTTGAACACTTGGTTTCTAAAATAAATCATTAACATTATTCCTAAACTTCATCATAAAAATTTTATAGCACACTTATGATTCAGAAGGAGTTCAAGGAGAATTGAGAAAATAGTATCATGTAAAATTTTGAATATTATTCATATTATTACACATCACAAAACTAAGTATAACAGAAGTTGAGCTTCTAAAGACATGCTATAAGACTCTTGAGCATGCTTAGGTGATTGATGCTACTTTAAGGCTACATTCCACCAAAAAAATTTCAAAAGAGCATGCTGTTCTTTATCTAAAGAAATTTTTCTTCTCTGTATAAATCAGCAAACTTAAATTAAAGAAGTTAGCTCCTAGTTCTAGTATGTCACTTAATGTGATTTAATGTGACATTGGACATTAAGCTGAAATTCATTTTGAAAACTAGGATAAAAGTAGTTTTATAATTCAAAGAGCTGTTGTAAATATTAAAGAAGAAAATTCACAGTAAAGTACTTTGAAAATGTAACAAGACAATGTAGTATCTTTACTGAATAAAAACATCCTCAAAGTCTTACTTAGTGAGAGTTCAATGAAAGACTTTAGAAATAGATTTCTGATTAAAACCTTTGACCACCAAACTACAGATATGTCCCACTTTTCAAAAGTTTGCATTCAACCTCTTGGCTTTTACAAGAGATCTATGTTATAATGTACCTGTTTTCACTAACTGAAAGAAATCTGAAGAGGACTTTTCACTTTTATGGAAAAAGGCAAAATAGTGTATATAGCATTCAGCTTTTGTTTTGCAGAGAGCTGAGCCTTTGCAGAGTCAGCAAGCTACCTGAGCAGGCAAAGGTCCCACCAAGCTCCTTCCTGGGAACCACATCAACAGCCTAAAGCCACCATAGCCTTCAACAGTGTCTGTGAGCATCTGTGTTTGATCCTAACTTATTTTATGCATCTGTTCGCAAGATATGTCCTAAGATATCAGAAAAGCTTAAGGGAGGCTATTTTTTGGAGTCATGGAATACTCAAATTTTTTTCTGTGTAAATTAATCGCAGTTGTTTCTTTGCTTTATACCATTTCGCTTATAAAAGATTTCATAGGGGTGCTCTACGTTCCAGCTGCTGGAGAAACCTGTAATATCTTTCTGATATGATTGACTTTATAACTTTAATCTTAAAATGGTTACAAAACAGGGCACTGATACTTCTACATTATCTCACTTCAATTTATGCCCCTATTCACAGCAGTTCCTAGATAACTACCACCATTATTTTGATGATGGTTATCCCCTAGGAAGTTGGTAGAGCTTCCCAGGCAATCTAACTATACCTTCCAATTTCTAGTTTCTAAATGGGTCTCGACTAGAAATGTTGAGTGAGTAAATATCTACTAAAGAAACCTGCATGTAGTTATTGGTTATGGGGCAATGGGCTGCCTAGAGCACTGAGACGAACACAAACATGCACCCCCCAATACATTTGAAATCCTTCCTTCATATATTTTTCCTTAATACTCCGTCTTAATACTAAGTTCAGGTGCCACCTTTTGAGGGAACTTTGCCTTTTGGGGGAACTTTGAGTACACAAAACTTGATTACACACCTATGAGGTCCCATTCCATCCAATATATAAATCTTTCCTGAAAGTTAACACAGAGAATTGTAATGATATATTTACTACCTGAGTTTCCAGTTGACCTGTTAGCTCATCAAAATTCATGGAAACTTTTTGTATCTTTTTACCTCTGGTACTTAGTACAGATCTGGTACAGTATGATGATACATTACTCTTGGTTGTGATGGCTGAATAAATGCATGACTGAGTCCATCATTACAGGCATCAGCTACCACGGCATCACCAAGCACAACAAAACTGAATGAGCTGAGGCTCTTGTTGACACAGTTAGCATGGCTGTTTTTCTTAGATGCCCAAGCCCTGTGCAGAGAGTAATACAGATCTTTTTTGGAATGTGGACTAATCTATGATTTCTTTGTAAAGTTTATGGAAACTTTGCTATTGGTCCCTTGAACTTGTCCTACATGTGCCATGCTGTATCTTCTGATTACTCTTTGTTACTGATGTCTTTTCCTACTATTTTATGGATCAACAGCTGGAGGCATTCATTATCAGTATTTTCAGTAATACAAGCAGAGATACTAATTTATTTGTCATGATTATCCTATTAATTGAAATAAATTAAGTGTGGCATCTTTCAGGGTTCCCCTGCTTTATTCTAGATTTCACACACTTCTGTCTTTGATCACTTTGGTTTACAAAATCCAAAGCTAAGGAAGCCACTGTCATAAATTAATATATAATTGGGTCCAATGTTGCTCTATTCTGTGGTTATTGCCTGAATGCACTTATCTTTCAAAAGCTGTCACTCATTCTAAGATATTTTAAGGGAACTTTCTTCCTGACAACTGAAAAAGCAGTTCCTCAGGGAGGAAATAGAGTTCAATGCAATTGTCATTTTTGCAGGGTTTCATCATCAGTGAAGCAAGTGTCACTTCAAAGAAAAAAGTTGAATAAAAGGTGAAGACACTGACTGGAGGTACAGACAATACATAAACATAACAACCAAGGACAATGCAGGCAGTTCTGAAAGCCTAGAAATAGAAATGGTGCTCAAACACACACACACACACACACACACACACACACACACACACACACACAAAACATACACTGGGACTTTTGGCCCTCTAAGTAGAATCACTAACATGAATATAATTAGTCTGATTCTCAAGGGGCTAAATAATCAAGGTAGGACATTTTGAGGAGAAAAGATCTGCAGTATGACACATGTCTATTTGAGCACCCAGTGGAAGGTTTCACTGAGCCACATGTCTAAATATAACGTAGAGCTCTGGGCACCTGGAAATAATGACGGCAACTTAGCTTAACCAAGTGCGGTGTAATTCTGAAGGCTGTTTGATCTTCTTCAGTTGTCATTTAAGTGGGGCCATAAAAGCAGCCACAGTAGGAGAAATCCATTAAGAGCACAGCTTCCAAAAACACAGAAGAATTGTGTCCTGCTTGGAAACAGTGAAAGACAGCAGGACTTTGAATACAACAATAGCAAATGTTGCAGTAATGTTACAAAACGATCCCACTATAAAGATACAAGACTGGTTAAGAGTGGCTGCAGCTACGTAGACACACTTTTAACAAAATGCAAAAAAAATTGCTGGGCAGTCCCTTTACCCTCATGGTTACCTGGATTATAGGTATAACCCCATCACCAGGAGCTTCTACAAAACATGCAGTCCAAAGGCACACACATAAACTCACTCAATGTTCATAAATATGGAAAACCTATTTATGAGGAATAGCCAAGACAACTCTGACACATTTAAAATGCCAAAAGAAGTTTAATGCAAACTAAATTTTGACATAGCTCACATGAACAGTTTGGAATGACAGTCCTGACAAAAAAGGTATCCAAAAGAAGAATTGTTACCCAAACTGTAAATGTCTTCCCCACTCAAAAATTAGAATTGCAAGTTCAGATGACTTTTATCAAATCAATTTTGGCATGCTGAAATCTGAAGGTCTGTCAAAGTAACCTAGGATTCATTCATCATTAAATTGGAGAAAGACACTGGTAGAATCAACTGTCCAGATGATGGAATCTGCAAGAGTAAGATTAGCTGAAAGTCTTCAGTCACATGCACGGAGGTGTGCAAGGTTTCTCAGCAGAAGCCAGAGGGCCAGTATCTTCCATAGCAGCATGGATGGTAGTGGCCATATCCATAGTGACCATAGCCACAGCCCAGACTTGGGTAGTAGCCATAACCACAGCCCAGGCCGCCAAAGCCATAGCCCAGACCACCATAATAGTTGCCATAGTAACAGCTCATGGAGTTGAGGGTTTAGGTGAAAGGAAAGTGTTTGCTTGTAGTATTATGAACTTCTCTGCTTCCACAGGGCCCTGTATACACCTTCTGTAGTGGGTGTGACAAGCCAAAATCAATCATGCCTTGTGTTTGAGCAACTAATTTGTATGAAAACTATGCCATTGACATTGTGTTTATTTAAAAGAGAAGCCCTCACACCCATTAATTTCAGAATTCCTTTACTGCTGCTTTAAATTCTTTGAGGTAGTTACACATCTTCAAAACAAATTACTGCCATCTTTAATCTCTGTAACTGAGCTTCATGAGGTTGCAGAGTTTGAAAGCCACATGTGTTATTGAAGCTTGCCATGAAATAGCATCATCCCTCTGCAGACATAAAGCACAAAGGCATGGAGACCCCAGGCTTTAGAGGTCCCGTCCTGTTATCATCAACATTGCCTTGAATTTTGTTTTGAGAGAGACCCAAAGTTTTTTTTACAGGATTGATTCTGGTATTTGATTATAAATACTGTTTCTAGGCTACCTCTCAGTGTTGTCATTCTTCCTCGTCTGTATGTTTTTATGTGATTATATGCTATCTGGTTTTATATGCATCTAAAATGTGTTGCCAGTAAAAAGTAACTACGTATATAATTTGTATGTGCACAACACCAATGTGTGTTATATTTAAGTGTAATGCATATATATTTGAGGAATGTATTGAATGTAAACTGAGTTATATTTAGTATACTAGTATCTAAAGTACATCTGTTTTTGTTAATCACTTTCTTACTTTTTTTAACTGATTACCTGAATATTTCCTACTAATATCCTAGGTTCAGGTAAAGAAAGATCAAATATTTATCCAATACTGCACAGATTATGTGAAACATTCATGATACAACGTGGAGAGTCAATAGTTTAAATTCTAGACTAGTGCATAAAGGTAAAAAGCAATGCTATATTCTCAATGAGTCCTGCCTGACAAAACAGTCCATGAGGTATTTTATTAAGCTTCCTCTTTTCTTCCTTCATTACTGTATGTAATATCCAGTTGCAGTGCTATTTCGTTAATAAAATGTGTTTTCATCTCCATCCAGTTATTGCTGACAGCATAAAGAACAATGATGATGTAAAGAATGATGCTATCGATATGGCACAAAAGCTCTATTTACTCAGGAAAGGATCAGTCTTTATGAAATGGAACTATTAGAGGCAAAACACATTTATTATCTATAGATGGAGATTTAAAAAAAATATCTAATATTAAATCTTTGTATCATTTTATTGACATAATTCCAATGGTGATAATAATTGAAAAGATAATGAATAACTTATTATGAGGCAACTCTATGAGCATTTTGCCATAGGAAAACTCACCATTCTTTATTTGTATACTGTCCAAGTCAATTCTTCAATTTAAGTGAATGGACACTGAAATAAGGTAAGGATTTCCACAATTGCCACTGTTATTGGTCATCTTTCTATGGGGATGTCATCACACCTGGAAAAAAAATAGACTGAGAGATGATATTGTGAAATGTAAATATCACTATAAAGTTGATGTTACAGTTGTACTTGAAACACAAGAAAACCAAACCAAAGCAACTACCAGGGAGAGTAACAAAAGACTACAGTTAGATGAAGAGTTATAAAGTAAACATTACATAATTGAAGTCTTTAATATATGATAAAGGCTCATGTATACTAATAAAGCCTCTTAGAAAATATAATTAAATAATAGATTTTCCAATTTCAATAATGATGTCAAAGAAAGCAATTGATTTATCAAGAAAAGTGCATAATGGTGAAAAAACTTTGGGAAGGACATAGAAGACTTCAATGAATGAAGAGTTTATGCCACCTATGTCATTGTATGGGAAGATAAAATACAGAAATGATTACAATCCTTCCCATTTTAATTCATAAATATAATAGAATCTTAATGTGACTTCCAGGGAAATTTCATAAATTATCTTAATATTTATCTGAAAAAAAGAAGATAGTTTTACACACTGAACTTTTCCAGTTGATACTAAAATACATAAAAGACAGCAGCATGGTACCATGTTAGAATTAACAGTTTATGAGAATACAATAAAAAGTCCAACATATCATTATGTTCACTTATTTTCTAATGTTTTATTTAGGACTTTTACAGTATAAAGAAATATGTTGCATTTTTAGTTATCCTTTGTGTGATCTTTTTAAAGGTTCAGTATAAAAATAATGTTAACTTTACAAAATGCATTTCCATGATCTTTGACTGTCTAGAAAAAAGTAATTTGAAAACATTTATTCGAAATACCCTCATTTTCTTCCATAATTACTAATTTAAATTAAATTGAATTAAATTCAAGAACATAAATATTCTTGAAATATTTATGACAACTTAATATGTTGAAATAAAACATGATTTCTATTAAAATATTTTCAATTGTTTAACATGCAGTCTGAATGTTATTGTGCTATAATTTTGGGGAAAACTTATAGTCGTTGTTACATCTTCTTGTTTATATTTAATTTCATCATACACACACACACAGTATTTATACCATGAGATTTTTTTTCTGTTTTCCTGGTTCCTCCAACCAACTGATCTACTTAGCAACTTCACTAATTTTCTATTTTCTAATTTTTTAGTGATTGCTATAACTTTTATTATTTCCTCTTTCTATGCACTTTTTAATTGCCTCTTTGGTCTTTTCCTAACATTTGAATTACATAAATATATCTTTAATTTCACTCCTTAAATTGTTACTGTTAAATAATGAATATATTTAAAGCTTGCATGTGTTTTACTTTGTATACTGAGATATAAACCTAGATTTTTAAATTTTCTTAATGTTTTATTGTCATATCCTTGATTTTTTTCTTCCACAAATTAATTAAAATTCACATTTCAGAGAAGTTTTTATTAAACTAATCCCTAGTTTTCTAGCATCTTTGGTTGCTAATATAAGAAAAAATTATGCTCTATTTTTGTAAACTATTGAGCTTTTTGTGGAACAGAATATATTTGTGTTTTTCCAAATATTCTACAATTTGTTGAAAAGACACTATGGTTAAGAAGATTACTGTTTTTCTATAACATGAATTATATTTTTCATTTCACCTTGGTCTACTTTTTTCTGTATGCCATCTCTCTAAATTCATAACTGTGTGATAATTATTTAACTCCAGCTGTGCTTCTCTTAAATTCACCTATTTCTAATATTTCCCTTCCTATTATTTCAAGCTCTATTATTTGGCTCACAGTTGACAATAACTTTTCTAACATTATTAGCAATTGCATTCTTATCAACATTACACTCCTACTGTGTAATAATACATTTGGACTATGTGATACTTTTCATTTATACTTTATTCCATAAGATTTTTGCTCCACTTGTTTTCATTCTGTTTTGCTTTTTACATTTTTGGCTATCTTTTATAAATACATACTTACCTTTTTTGTGTTTAAAGAAGATCTCTATTGACACCTAGTGGCACAATACTCCAAATGCATGGAGTAATTACTAGAATTATTGCTTATTAGATAAATATTACCTTTGGAACAATGGGTTAAGGAAGCTTTAGGCAATATCGCAAAGTTTTGGAATTTACATATCTTTAAATTTACCAAGTCATTGAAACTGTTGGTATTATACTCACAAAAAAAGTATATGAATATAACATTTTAAATATAACCTCAGTAGATGGGTAGACAGCCCATAATTCAAGGCACATGAAATTAATAAAAGCTAAGTTAGATGATTTCATAGTCCAGGCATCTTGAGGCCTACAGTGGGATACTCAAATTACCAAAGTAAAAATTAAAGGATATTTTTAATAACAAAAACATGAATCTTACTGTTTTCAATTTTCCTTTACCCATATACAAAATAAGATAGTCATTCTCCTACATATTGTAATAGTCAACTTCTTGAATTATGTGACTATTTTCAGAAATGGCTATATAGATCAACCATTTGAAAAACAGTTATGATTATTAGAAAGGAAATTTGTCTCATTTTTTTGGTGGGCTTAGTGCTGGAGTCTTATTCTAGTAGTAACTCTAGTCAATAAGGCAAATCTTGACTAGTTTCCTTGACATACGTTGTAAGTAGTTCATCTAGAAAAATTCAAGTATTCACCAATAGAGAGGCTGTCAAGGCTTTAATAAGGTTCCTTGAGATTAGGGGCTTACATTGGTAAGGACCCAGGTATTCTTAAGAGCAAAGCTTAGGACTTCAAGTACTTGTCATCACATTAGAATGATCAAATACATTGTGTAATGACTCTGTTAAGTTATCTCAGGCTGACATCAGTAATGATTCAGTTTATGTAACTCTCAGTGTTCTGATTCTTGGCCCAGAACACAACTTTCTGATTACTATCAGTCTTGCCATTCCTTACAGGAAAAGGTAAGCTAATTACATTGGTTCGAGCTCTTTAGCTGTTCTGACAGTAATTTCTCAGGGTAAATAAATAAATTGGCCTTTGATTATGCTTTAATCCCTCCTAGAAAATAGAGATGATGTGATGATAAAATGGGCTTTAAGTATTTCCCTGTGACAGAAATTTGTCTGTAAATTAATAAAATGATCTGACTATAATTTGGATTTCCATGTAGGTTAACTGTAAGAATTTACAAATTAAGCAAACTCAAGTATTGCAGTTCCCGTGATGATGATTTCTTATTGTGTATTAATGAGTTGACATTACATTTTATTGATGATCCACTTGAAATTGTTCATGTTAGTCAGCCCCGGCAAAAAAGATTTGTTCTCACGGTACTAACTGAATCGAACTATCTAACAGCCTGCAAGCTGAAGAGCTAGACTTTGAAGAGGGATAAATTTATCAGGGCAATTAATGTTTTCCTAAGGGGCATCTGGATTTTGATTTTTTTCCCCATGGGAGATTCTGAGTACTTCTCTCTGTGAGCTAAGAATTATGCTGTGAAATTATTTTTTTTCAACATATAGCTGGGGCTAAATCCTGTGCCCACTGTATTCCAGGAACTATATTTACTGAGCCTATTTCTTTAATGCATTTATTGAACCATACTCTGGGCTACTCTGGGTGGAAAAGCACATAGACATATGTTATAAGTCACTGCAGTGGCCCCTGTACTTACCTCAGTGATGTGCTCCACACCTGAGCTCCTGTGGCAACCAGATAGCTTCTGCTCCTGTTATTAAAGGTTTTTCTTTAGGCATATGAGTAGCTTAAATACGGAATTTTCCTTCACAACTGTATGTCTTTGCTTCATTTAGGAAGTTCAGTTTATCTCTACCATTTTTTGACCCCTTGCCCTAACCATCTGGTCCATCTCGCCTTTTGCTTTGTATATTGAAATATCCCCCGTGTACTCTGTTATCAGATGACATTATGCTGTAATGAAGACAATTACTCCCATGTCAGTATCCTGGTAGCCCAGCTGTTCCAGTAAACACATAAACAGTTATGTAAAAGTAAAGCATAAAATACATCAGCAACATGGCAAGAGTTGTTAATTTCAAGTTTTCTTTAGGTCTTCCTTCTGGGACTAGAAACCAGATTGATACAAAGTCCACAGTACTGCAGTAATACACAGGCAATCTTCATATTCTTAAAAAAAAATCTATAAAGGACAGCCACTTTCATAAAATTCTACTGCTAATGTAGCTAATTGTTAAAGCACATGGCTTCCTGCCTATCCACAACATAAAATTCCTGAACTCCTGGTACTCCTCCAGAAATTTAATCTAGAAATCACTGGGATGAAGTAGGTGTTTGAATTTAGTGAAATAAACAAAACTTATACAGGATTCTTGAGTGTGATGCTCATGATTTTCTAGGTGGAGTTTTAAAAAATATGTCCTGGTACACTAAGAAAGCATTCATCTACAAGTCTTAATCAATAGAAGAGAATGGCATTCAAAAATAAAATAAAACAAATTCATAGTAGAGTTAAACACTTGGACTATAATATTTTCTCCAACCATAATGGGATTACATTTACTGGTGTGTTCTTTGTGGTTATGCTATCTGCTATTGTTGAGGCCTAAGTTTTCTGAACTATGTTCTTGTAACTAAGGAAAAATAAAGCCTAGCATTAAGGAATTTTCATTCTCATATTACATTCTACTTACTGTATACACATCATTTACTTCATTACACAGTATATAATGAGCGGTCATGGAAGTATGTTTTTCCGATCTCAGTACAGACATAATATCATCTAAGAAGCAGATTTACTTTTACACTAAATCGTATAATTAATTTTTATGATAGCTTATAGAAAGTATAGAGCTGAAGTCATGGATCATGCCTAGAAAATAAACAAAGACTTCAAAGAATATAATACATGTAATAATCACAATAACTCATACTGAAGATGAGATACAAAGCAATGATGAAACATATGCCCAAAGAGACTTATCACAGCAGTTTTTATAATAAGAAAAAAATGAGAGACAACCTATCTGCAAAAAATAGAGAAATAGAAAAATAAAAGTCATTAATAGCATGGAATGCTTTGCCATAAATAAAAACAATGTCTCAAAGGATTTTTGATGTCATGGGAAATCCGTAGTGGTATAAAGCTAATTAACAAAGAGTAGTATATAAAAATCACTACATGATTTCATTGATCTAAAATATCATAATAAAAAATTGGGGATAAGGGTTGATAATAGTGCCTACCTGACAGGATTGTTGTGAGAACAAAAAGAATATGAAAATAATAAAAATCAGTATGATAGTTCTTATAGCATAAGCATTTGTTAAGTGTTTGCTTTTATTATTGTGCAAAATGTAAGGGGATGTTCTTCTTAAAACATACGGAATACATCATACATCAGGCACTTTGGTGCACAAAGAAAACATTCACCTAAAAGTCTTAATCAACAGAAGAAGAAAAAGACATACACTTACCAAAGATAATGTCTCCAGGACAATTGTCTCAGCTGTTTGTATGGCACATAATCAGAGGATAGTGATGGAAATCAAACATTTGCCTAAAAGAATAAAAAATATAGACCAAGGGCACAAAACAAAAGACTAGCATCCTGGGCTACCTGGAAACATAACTGAGCATACCAGTAAGTTGCAGCAGACAGATGAAGATGTCATAAGAAGTCAGCCCTCCAACATAAAATAATATAAAAGTAGTAAGTCACTGTGGCTTTAAATTCACTCATTCTCATCAACATCCATCCAACAAATGTGCATGAACTATAAGGTCCTTTTTGAAGCTTTAATGATACTTACTGGAAAAAAAGCTACTAAGAGACAAAAGTCCTCATCCTCACAGGAGTATATTCTCCTTGGTGAGAACAAGATATCAGATGATGATAAATGACACTGAAGAAAACAGGGTACAAAAGTGGGTGTGCAGCCCGGGAGTTGACATTTTCAATAGCGTGGCCAGGGAAGCTTGACTGAGAAGGGCATTTGGAGACAGCTGTCAGAGGAGATGAGGGAGCAAACTGTGTTGGCATTTGGGAGAAGAACGGTGACCTTTGGGAGAAGAACACTCTAGTTAGAAGGAATGGCAGACACTAGCCCCTGATGGAGTGAGTGCATCTGGCATACCCAGAGAAGGCAGTTGGAGGGCAGATGGTGGTGGTACTCATTCAGATGGTGGGGTGGAGGTGTTACGAGGCCACTGGAGGAAGCTGGCTTCCTTACAAACTCCCATCTCATGAAATAGCACAACAACAAGAAACCTTGAAATGACTTCGTCTTTGTTTGCCTGAACTAATGAGAACTTAGTTCATTACATGGCTATATGTATATATCTAATCTTACAGTCAGATGTCATAGAAGGGGCCTTGGTCCAATGTGATAATTCTATATACCTAAAGAAAGGTCAAGATCTCCATGGAATAGGAGTGCTATGAAAGAAACACACATTCTATTTATAGTTTGCATAAAACAAATATTTGAAAATGATATATGGGTCATTAACTTGGAGTACCAAGTAGTATTAATGATACATGCTAACAGATCTTGAGCACTTATATATCTCAGGCACTATGCCATCTTCTGTATATATTATTTAATTCTTAAAACCCCAAGGCAGGATGCATGTTTACCCTGTCATTTAACAGAAGATAAGATTTATAGCTGAATAGCTAAGTAGTTCCCCAACCCACACAAGTAGTAAGTAGAGTTGGGACACGAACCTCAATAGTCTGGTTCCAGATTTCCATTCTCTGTCACTCCAATCTATCCTTTACAAGGGCAAAGAGAAATTAACCCAATAAAGAGCCATTGATTCTGACTATAATGACAAACAATGAATATGTCCTTTATAACTTCTCCCTTGCCCTTCCAGTGTTTTTTACTCTGTGAACTGTGTATAAGTCTCAACCTACTTAAAATCAGATGCATTATTAGATTAGATATGTAATAGAAACAAGAGAAGATGAGGCTAAAAAATTAAGCAAAAGTGAACATGTGGATGACTTTATGTGCTCTGCTAAGATGTTAGCAGATGCCAAAATAATCTGCTAAGCAATGTATTATCAGTAAATCTTTCTTGTCCACACTGAAGAGTTTATTCATTTTGTCTGGACTACCCAGGACACAGAACAAAAAAACAAGCATCTTCCTGGAGCTCAACTTGTACTCAAATCTTTGCATTAACTTTTAAGTAATTAAAATCCTGATCAATTTATGATATTTATATGTTTTTGAGGTTTTATGTGATCATATAGAAGAAGAATGTAAAATCTGAAAAATAAGACAAGAAAAAACTCAAAAATAACTATCAATATCATGCTTGGAATGGGTTTCCTCAGTCAATGCTCCTTGACACTGCAGGATTATGATTTCACACTCTATTTAATAAATTCACTTAAAAGTTATTCATTGAGCACTCACCATGTGTAAGACACTGCTATTTTGGAATTGGTGACATAGGAGATACAAATAAAGACCCTATTTTCATGGATCTGATGTACCCTGCTCTTAGAGACTCCATTGTCGAAAAGTTCGAAAAAATGGTAAGTGAGGTACATGATGGGATTCAGAAAAAAAACTCCATAAAGAGGGATCAGGAATATATGTGAAGAGACAGACAAGTGTCTACTGCAATAGTCCAAGTGGGGAATGATAGGCCTGAGACCTTTAGCAGACAAGGGTTATATCTCCTAGAAACACCCCACTGCCTCAATGAAGAGTGGCCACAGCCAGTGTTTAACTGATGTGGGAGTACAAAGCCCAGCACTCCTGCTGCAAAGGGGTATAATTATCACATTTAACTGACTCTTCTGGGATCAGGCAGAGGCTAGACTTTAGCTGCAAGCATATGTTAGCTTAGCTTCCTCTATACAGTATCCTGCTTCCTTTATTTAGAGAATTCTCCTTGGAGAGATCCCCGATTAAGCCCTTGTCTACGAATCCCATTCTCAAGCTCCACTTCAGTGGAAGTTGTTCTAAGACAACCAGGAAGAAAGTACAAAGGGAAGATCTCATGAAAATGTGCACAGGGACCCAGTAAGTATTGTGGATGGGTGAAGGGAACAGTGGGTTATGGTGAATCAAATTTCACATCATCAAGGGAAGTTTCAGTGATATTCAGGACAAAAAACAAAGAATGAATTGATCTTGGCAGATAGCATTGGCAACAATATGTACACAGGATTATTTTAAGAAAACTGCTTCTGGTAGAAAATAAAAAAATGCGATTATCTAGGGAATGTAGTATCTATAGTGGGCATTATTCTTTTCCTCTGGGTTTTATTAGATAATGACTTTATGTTTATCTGTTGTTGGTGTGTTTTTATGTTATAAAACTCACATATTGGATTGTCTAGATAATATTTGAATTTGAGGAAGATACAGAAGATAGAGAACTTGAAGGCACTGGTGATTTAATATTAAAGGCAAAAGAGAAGAAAAATTCCTAACAAGATGGGAAGCAATGGGCTATAGAAAAGTGGAGATTAGGTTTTGATAAGGTTAAGAAAGAATCTTCTTTGGAATAGAAGCAAGCAGAAAAGGCCTTCAAGGCTATGAGAATCCTATTAGGTGAGATAGGGTCTATCATTCAGTTTTCCCTAAAATAATTTAGCTGCAGGTCTGGAATTGTTATTTATCTTTTGACAACACCGATGGGATGATGAACACTGGAAAAAGAACAGGAAGAGGAATCCAATTGGCTGAGTGGCTCTGGGGGTTCCTCAGTAGAATCCATAGCATCAACACCTGCCACCACAAGAAGGGGTCAGCAACTGTAACAGTGCCCCCCATAGTCACAACTGTAACCACCAGAGCCACAGTAGCCACAGCCATACCTGTGGTCCAAACCACCATAACAGTTGTCACAATAGCACATGGTGGGATGGAGGGTTAACTCAGAGAACAGAGTTAGTTTCCTGAGTTTCAATGTCACCACCTGCACATGACTGTTACATGCTCATTAGTGGCTGTAGCAGACCACAGACACTCCTGGTCTCAAAGGTATGGATTAAATAATTCATTATTTCAAAATTCTTCTGTTTCCTTTCTCTAAACAGTTCAGCACATCCACATTGTGTCATCCTGACACTCCAACATGACAACACTCTATTATGATTATTTGCTAATATATCCTTGCCTCACATAAGAAACTATTATTTCAGGACACAGACCCTATATTACCCATCTGATTGCCTATTGTCTCACAATATGTCTGACACTTATTAGGTACTTAAATATTTGCTGATTGAATTAATGAATGGATGGGTGGATGAATGAATGAGTGAATGAATTTTCAAGAGAAATGTAGTTATAGCCCAGAGTGGTTTTAAACAAAGAGAATTCTTTATACTGGGTAACTCATATTAACTAATTTCTATAGTAAAATTTCACCAGTTTAAATCATGTACCTACAAGGAGATTATTTTTCTGGGTTAAAGGTCATGGTGCCTTAGATTCCAAATTTTAAAAACTATCACCAGTTTTCACATCATCATTGTCATACTACTAGCTGCATTTTGAGAATTTGTTAGTAATATCTGAGATCACAGAACTAGTTTACAGCTTAGAGAGCATATTTTATGAGAGGTACAAGGGGAAACATGTAAAACAGTTTTTTTGTCTTAAGATCCCATTCTACAACCAAAAGACTATTCTCTCCTCCTATGTTTTAACAGGCATGTGTTGGCATGAATTCTATCATGTGACCTTAATCTTTCTAGACATTTAAGGAAATGATTGAAGACCTAGATGGCCAACATCCTTTATAAGAGAGTGATAGACTTATAATTTATATTTAGGAACCCAGTAATGTTGACAGTACTATGTTGCCCAAAGACATCATCGTGATGGATTCATAGAACCTATTATGGTGATTCTTTACCTGGATAATAGCACATTTAGATAAGCGTATTACCTCATGCTCCAGATCATAGATAGTATCAGGAGGAAAACAAGAGGTTGGGATTTGGATAGTGATTAAACAGCTTAGACTCCTCAGTAAGCTTTAAATATATTTACATAAAAATAATCAGAGAAAGATTATTTAGAAGTTTTATAAAAAATAAGACCATTTCTGTTAAAAAATATTGCTTAGTTTTTAATGTGACTACTAACTGACACACAAAAAAAGCCCTGGATCAAGATAAATACAACTATTGTCACATTTTTGTTCAGTAATTTTATTCTAGTCTATTTTATGTTAATTTCTTAAAGAAACATTTCTTTAGATTCTAACATTCTGGTCAGGCACAGATTTCTTTTCAACCGAGTTACTAAATTTACATCACCAAATCTGAGTAAGCATAGTTCTTTCCTGCAAACAACTTCCCCTCTGGAGGCATCCACACTATAATACTTTGCTTGAATTTATTCATAGAACCCTTCAGTCTGTCATCATCTTCAGCAGCCCCACTGACTAGGCAGCTCATTCTGACAATAAATAAAAATGTTTTGATTTAGAAGTAGGTCATGTGAGAAATCAAACCCATATGTGCACTTTATTGATTACAAATAACATATAAAATCTGTAGCATAGCTTTTCATGCATTCCACAAAATGGTAATTCGATAATATTATTCCACTGGTGATGTCTCAAATTCAAACTAATCTATTGTTTGGCACCAAAGTGATAATAGTAGAGTTGACATGTCAAGTACAATGAATTTCACTACTCCTTTGTCTCTGAGCTTATGAAAACCTTTTACATGTCCAGAATTATTAGGGAACAATATGTGTTGGGCACTATTTTGT